ATGGGGAGGATGGCTTTGTTTTTTACTCTGTACACTTATTTACCAGCTAGTGTCTTAGTGCACGGATTTGTGCACACTGAAAGGAAATTAGAAGAAATAATTTAATATCGCTGTTTGCCCTTTTTCTATAATAGAAGTGTCAACCAAATTCATGATTGACAATGACAGATGGAAATACACGTGTGTGATGGGTGCCAGCGAGAGCTTTATATAAATTGTGCATGTGCAAGTCTACTGAGCCTTTTATAAATGTAGAATAAACTTCTTAATTAGACCTGCTCTCTGCTTTAGCTAAACTTTTTCCAGCCCAATGAAGCACCCCAACTTCTCTTTTAGGTTATTGTCAGCAATACAGCGGTATCAACACAAAGCAGATTATCATTGTAGATCATTCAGGCAGAACAAAGGATAAAATATTTAATTGTAGCAATGTTTGACTATATTCTGTGCAGTGAGAAAACCTGAAGTTATTTTCAAGGTCCACAATTTTTTACTTCTTTTCAGTCAGGTCAAATTTCTAAGCTTTCTAAATCTCCGTTTTATGGCTAATGGAAAAAAAAAAAAAAATAGGATTCCACCAAGTCTCCTATCTACTTATTCCAGGACTTCTGTGAGGATCAAATGAGACGAGGCACAGGAAAACCTTCACAAACATTTGGTTAAAGTGTAAAATGTTTGCACCTGACTACTATAAATCAAGTCCTGGGCTGAAGAAACTCCAAGGAGTCACTAGGGAGAGGAAGTGGGCGTTGCAATGTGACATCATTACCGGGTGCCCACAGTGACCATTTCCAGGCTGGGCTGTGGTCCACGGGCCACATTTTGCACTATGGGGTCTTGGTAGCAACGGCTGTGATTTGGTGGGCTGTGTTCCACTTGGGGGAAACCAAGTGCTATTTTGTCAGCACCAGGGCCGCAGTGCTGTTTATTTTTAAATGGCCAGTGCGTGTCATGGCAGCTCCTGCATTGAACATCTGCCCCCTGTTGGTCAGTGTGCATCATAGCTACTGGTCAGAAGGACAGTTAGGCTTTTATATATATAAACAAATATACATATATACATATATAGATAGATAGTTATAGATATTAATGAACATACATTTTTCTTGTAACAAAATAACCAATAGAAAGAGCTTTTCCTTTTTACATACAATAATAAACTCTAAGGTTAACTGTTTATAAATGCTGTTGATATCCAGGAAAGATGAACAAGTAACATGACTATAAAAAGTAAAACATACCTATTGTAGGCTAAGGTGCTATTTTTAGGTTCGTCACTTTTCCAAACCTCTCCAACTTTAGACAACACGTTATGAATGAAAGTAGATCGTGTTACCACAGTCCCTATTACAGCTCGCTTTGGAACTGCTGATAATGGTTTGGGCCGACAAACTGTAAAATGAATATTGCAGAATTCAATTTAATCTCTAAAACCAGGACTTTTAATAGAAGACTAATATAAAAGTGCGACTGGAAAACAGATCATAAGAGTTTGGTTAAAACTGCATTTGGTTTAATAGCATTTGGTTTAATAACATCTAGGTAGATATTTATTTATTGGGCTTTTAGAAGATGGTAAAAAGTTACATGTATTCTAAAAGTTGGACAAGAGCTTTCAAAGGAAATAAAAAAAGTTCTTTCGTTCATTACTACATTACTAAGTTATAAACATGTCCAAAAAGCTTTAAACTTATTGGGACAGAATGGCCAGTAAAAAAAGGCACCAATGTGATGAGACACAGCAAAGTATAAGCTAGAGATGGTTGCAGAAGGCAATCACTCAGTATCTTCTCTAACTCAATGCTTTAGAACATTTTCCAATGAAATCTTACCTTTTCGAACAACTGATAATGTTGACACACGGTAAGGTTTAGCTCGTTCCATGGCTAATTTTCGATGGACTCTCGGAAGAACTTTTCCATATTGATCCAATATAGAATTGCGAGCCACATATCTCTCCCGCAAGTGAGGATCACGATCATTCTATTGAACATATCATAACTAATAAAAATTTAATCTTCAAACATGTCAGGTGCTATGTTTATACATTTACCTTCTAAAATATAACAATATTCAGGAATATCTTCCTCCTCCCTTCTTCCAAACCAGGGGACCTCATATGCACACCTCATTACTGTATCAAACCTTACCCATTAAAGTCTCACCTATCCAGTCTTGATTTCTTCACAACTAAAGAACACCAGTTGTCAATTATTAAGTTTCTACCTGTATCAGTCACATGTACTTGTTACTTCACACACACCTTTGTACACCCTCACAGAGATACTATCATTTTACATATGAGGAACTCTTTTACAGAGAGTATGTGTCCAGCACACAATGGAAGAATTGGTCTAACTCCTGAAGTCCAGGCTCTGTGCACCATATAATTTCTATTACTGACCTCTACCTTATCCTCTCCTTTTCCCTAAGTGAAATATTAGTCTGGCAAGATCACAGATATTAAACAGAAATGGAAGATAAAAGGGAACTGGGTAAATAATAATACTTTATTCCTAATTCTGCTGTAGAAAGTAAGAGGAGGAATCTCCAAACTCAAATTTATATAAAGCTCAGTGGTTGGTTACAAAACTACAAACTCTTAGACAACAAAGTCACTAGTTTTTCTTCTTTCCTTATCTCCCCACAACAAAACAAGTTTAACTATACCGTAAGATTAATCTTCAGAATTTGGTTCAGCTTCAAGGCAGGGATATAATTGGCACGCTGTAAATGGTGAACTAAAAGTAATTCATGATTCTGAACACTGGTGCTGGACTGCAAAAAGCTCACCAAACACTCCTAGGAAAAATATAATACATGTGTAAGCTACTAACATACACTGAATTTCTGACACGCTTTTACTGGTAAGTCATTACCTGCTCAGTGTCTGTAAACGGTAGCTTCAGTAAATCCTCCATTAGGCCCATTTCCTGACAGCCTTTGTACGTGTGCTCTAGTAACTCCTTCACATTCGATCTACTAGAATGGTGTCGCAGTAAACTCCAGGCCTCCATCATGCACCTGAAATCGGTATTTATCAAAGTTTCGTTTTAGAAAAGCTATTTAGTGTTCAAAACAAGTTATCTACCTAAAGATTCTTAATGATACTCAAAACATGTAATTGAAGGTAACTTAATTTTACTGAATACTAATCACTGCATTAAAAAGTTGGCTTATGTCAACGGGCATCTTTAAAGTCTCAATTTTATGCTATTCTGTATCATTATATAAGTGTAAAATAATAGGAAAGCAAAATAAGTACACAGGTCAAGAGGATAAAAAAACCAATGTGATCTAAACAGAACTGAAAAATTAGCATGATGTGATATAGAGAAAAGCCAGGCTCTTAAGGAAGTGACTGTTTGCGTGAGAAAGAAGAGTAGAAAAGAAAATAAGCAAAGATGGAAACAAGAAGATTGTGTTGATGGGGAGCAGAAGGTTTAGCAAATATAGTAACAGAAGATTTGGACTCGTGTGTAGCAAGATCTGACTAGAGGACTTGGCCTAAATCAGACATTTTGGACAGCACGAGGGACACTGAGCTGAGGGCAAAGAGTCATTAAATGAAGTAGTGTTTCTCATTGTACTCTATTAAGAAAAAAAAAAAAGCTTAAAATAGTGCAGTGATTACAATGTTTAATTAACCAATAAACAAAGCCAACAAATATTTATGTTTATTAGATTAGATAATAACATGTCTTGAAAGATATATACCAAAACTGAGAATGATCAATCTGACATGTATCGATAGAATTTTTGAGGAACTGATAACTATTCTTTCGAGGGATAGAATAAAAAGTGGTAAATAGGAATATCAAGAAATTGATTATCTTAAAAACCACACAACATCATTTCGAATTCTAAGTCAATAGGCAATTTTTACTGCAGTGGGCATCTTAATAAAGACTAGTAAAAAAATGACATAAATAAGAAATATAGAATATGTGAACCAAGTTAAGACAATTAATGTTCATAATGAAATAAATCTGAGGAAATTTTGAGTGATCCTTTGTTTTTATTTCTGAACTTTACACAATGTCGCTAGATTTCTGGATACTGGATAATGGAAGCTTTTCTATACTTAAGAGAAATAAGTTTTAAAATTACATGTTTGCTATGGCTAAAGAAAAGAAAATGAAGATCTTTAGCTAATCAGAGAAACATGCTATGACTGAATCAAAGGACGATGGAATAAAAAAGAAAAACCAGCAGCCTTTCAAAGGTGTTTTTTCTAACTTTCCAACATCCGCACTTTGATGTGATTAGTGATCAATTACCACCTCTTTAAAGACACTAAAGTGTAAGAAGCTCACATGCTAGTGAGAAAAATTAACATGCTGATTGCCAACCCAGTGTTAGAATTCTTTATCCATTTATTTTTAAATACACACACATATGTATGTATATACAATGAGTGGCCAGATTATGATCTCTGAACGCATAATCATCTGGCCACTTAGTGTGTGTGTGTGTGTGTGTGTGTGTGTGTGTGTATTAGAGGCCCAGTGCATGAATTCGTGCATGGGTAGGGTCTGGCCAGGGGGAGGGGATATGGGCGGTTGGCCAGCCTGCCTGCTAGTTGAACTCCTGATGGAGGGGACAATTTGCATATTAGCTTTTTATTATACAGGATATACACCGAGTGGCCAGATTACTATGCATTCAGAGATCATAATAATCTGGCCACCCAGTGTATATTATTGATTTTTAGAGAAAGGGAAGGGAGAGATAGGAACATCGATGAGAGACATCATCTATCAAGTGCCGTCTACACGTCCCCTCCTGAGAATCAAGCCTGCAGCTCTGGTATGTGCCCTGGTATGTGCCTTGACCAGGAATTGAACCAGTGACCTCTTGGTTCATGGCTTGAGGCTCAATGATTGAGTAGTACCAGCTAGGCTACCCATTATTGAATATCTGTCACTTTTAGCTTCTTATACTTGCTCTAGACAATTTGTTAGCTAGCCAAACAACTTTTAAAAAAATGATTTTTAGAGAAACATCTATTTGTTCATTCCCTGTTTCTTTTTTTTTCTTTGTGCAGGAGCCATGCTAATCTTCTCTGTACTGTTCCAATTTTAGTATATTTGCTGCCAAAGTGAGCACTCATTGATTGTTTCTTGTATGTACCCTGACTGGGGATTGAACCTACAACCTTGGCGTATAGGTATGGCAACAACTGAACAACCCAACCAGAGCCTAGTCAAATATTTTTGCTCACCTAAATTATTTCCACAAATACTTCCTAATTCATTATTTTGAGGACACTAAATTTCTACATGTCTAGCTAACCTATTAGTAAACTACAAAAGTTTTCTTCTGATTCAACCCTCACCCTTCAGAAATACATTCTGTTTAACCAAATGGAACAAAGAAAACTTAACTTTCTGAGTGGTGACACTAACATGCTATTTGGTTCACAAGTGATGCTTGGGGGTGAATAAATGACCAATTCATAAAAACATCAACATGACCAAACACCTAGCTAGAGTGACTCAGTGGTTGAGGCTCATCCTGTGCACCGAACAGTTGATGGTTTGATTCCGTCAGGGCACATACCTGGCCTGCAGTTGGAGCACAATGAAAGGCAACCAGTTGATGTTTCTCTCTCACATCAATGTTTCTCTCTCTCTTGTCCTTGGGGGAAAAAGAAAACAAAACAAAAAGCACAGACCAACCAAAAAGATAGAAACAAAACACACATTACGAGTTGTATAAAGTTACAATTTGGTAAGAAATTTCAGTTCCAAGCAATTTCCCCAACTAATTTAGTTAATAAGAAAACTCAATAACCATACCATGATATTTTCAACCATACCATTTAACTTGTCACCATTAATATATATGGTAAATGTACCATGCTGATATATTAAACACAAGAGAACATTAAAACACTGCCAAAATAAGAATATAAAGATATCTGCTCAAATACTGTTAAAGTGTTAAGATGTGAAACCTGAACTTTCTTAAATTATTTAAATAGATGCTTCAAGACTTCCTTTCTATAATAGTGCAATGGCAACTATCAAATGCAAAGAACTGCAATACCTGAAAACTAGTATTACCCAAATACTGGAGTACCTTCACTGGGTTATACCTCAAAGAACAGAATTATTATTTCCCCAGCTGGGCAGTTAGCTAGAGCATCGTCCCCATAAGCCAAGGTTGTGGTGCCATCCCGTCAGGGCACATCCCAATGAATACATAAATGGAACAACAAAGCAATTCTTCTCTCTCCCTGTTCCTCTCTCTCAAACCAAAAAATAAACACACACACACACCAACTCAAGATGATTTTATTCTCCCTCAGTACTTCTGGCTCCTTTTCAGTATACTCAGACATTAACTATCCATGCAGGAGACTACCAATATTATCAATTAGCAACAGATAAAATTTTAAACCTCAGTTTGGTTTCCTCTTTTATTCAAGGTACTTCTTATTTATTTTATTCTAGATAAAAAATGTTTTACATTTTTCTTAAGGTTGAAAAATGAAGAATTGTAAGAATATTATGTAATACAATAAAAGCAAAATATAAACTGCTACTATACCATCAATACCATTTATTAACAGATTTGATCAAAAGTTTGATTATACTTTCAACGTATGTACTTACCTATTAAAAAGCAAAACAGTGATGTGAAGGATAATATCACTATCACTGGACACTGTTGGCTTCATTGTCTGAATATATCTGAGGGCTTGTCTGTGCTCACCCTGACTCATAAAGGCTTGAATAATCTTAGAATGCTGCCATGAGAAAGGTTTTGCAGTAGCTGGATGAAACAGAAGATCCAAACCATTCTGCAAAAAAAAAAAAATGATAGGAAAACTGGTAAATACAAATATGCTTTGCATTTATAAAGCACATCTTTAAAAAGACAGGCAATACCAAAGCCACAAAACCCAAGATAAAACCAGTGTAAATGTCAACTTTTGGCCGAAACCGGTTTGGCTCAGTGGTAGAGTGTCGGTCTGCGGACTGAAAGGTCCCAGGTTCGATTCCAGTCAAGGGCATGTACATTGGTTGCAGGCACGCACGCCTGGTTGGCAGAGAGCGGCCGAATCTTTATGCGGGCACATCCCCGGTAGGGGGTGTGCAAGAGGTAGCTGGTCGATGTTTCTCTCTCATCGACTTTTCTAGCTCTATCCCTCTCTCTCCTCTCTGTAAAAAATTAAAATATATTTTTTTAAAAATGTCAACTTATGGTATACTTTATTTTAAACAAAAGCTTTATAAAAAACATCATGCTGAAAAAGATCTCTTTGGGAGAAACCAAGATGGCGGCATAGGGTAGACACCTGAATGCAGCCTACCACAACAAATTTGAATTTAGAACTGAAAAACAGGGGAGGCATTGCCCTGAAGCGCCAGACGGCTGGCTGAGAGGAGGCTCTGCCATCTGGGAAGGAGAGAGAAGGCACGCTGAACCTCAGGAACTGTGAAGGTACGGAGAACTGTGTGTGCGAAAAGGCGCTGGCTTAATCCCGGTGCGGAGAGGAAGGGCCGACCGAGATTGCTGCTGGCTTACTCCCTGCACGCAGAGAGGGCGGGCCGGGCTGAGTTCGCTACTGGCTTACTCCTGGCGCGGAGAGGGCGAACAGCTAACGCGGCTGGCTTTCTTGTCCGAGAGGAAAACAGAATCACCCTATTGCTCTGATAAACGGCCCCAGACAGGGAGAGGCCAGACTGTCAGGCAGTGGGCAGAGATCTCTTGGAGGTGTGTGAAGCCAGAGGCCATTACTGCGGGACTTGGGGAGGAGCCGAAGGGAAAACAAAGTTTGTCTGCACCAACCCGAGACTCCGCCCTACCTGTGGCTGAGCACAGAAGCTCTCCCAGAGGCTGGCTTTCTCTAAGGAGGGACTTGCAGGAATCCAAAGCTTGTCTGCGCCTTTACCAAAGAGGTGCGCGCACGCGCCTGCAACCAATCTTCCAAAACTCTCCAAGAACAGGACTTTTCTAAGGTGAGACTGACAGGGAACCAAAGATTGTCTGCGCCACCCCGAGACCCCGCCCTATTCAAGCGGAGTGCAGAAGCCCTCCTAGCTGAGACACTGCTGATCCTCACAGCCAATTGGCTTGGAGATCAACGCTTCCCAGTGATACCAACAATAAGCAAGGCTTAACAACAAGACTGCACACACAGCCCACAAAGAGCTACACCAAGACTGTCCACCGCAGGTAACTGGGAAGGCTGTGCTACTGGGCTCTACCAGAACACCTAGCACACAAAGCTATTCCATCAAATCAGGGAAACAACTAAAATGCAGACAAGAAGAAGGACACAAAGGAAGGAGATGGAGGAAAAGAAAAGATTGGACATTGAGTTCAAAACTACAATTATAAGGTTATTCAACAATATCCTAAAAAAGGCCGATAAAATAAATGAGACCTATGAGGATATGAAAAGGGAGCAACTAGAAATAATAAGGGATCAACAAGAAATGAAGAAAACATTGTCTGAAATAAAAAATATTATACAAAGTCCTAAAAACAGACGAAGATCGCAAGAATCAAGACAAAGATTTAGAACACAAAGAGCCAGAGGACACTCCTCTGCAGAAGGGAGAAGATAAGAGAATCCAGAAAGTTGAAGATAGTGTAAGAAACCTCTGGGACAATTTCAAGCGAACCAACATCACAATTATGGGAATTCCAGAAGAGAGAAAGCAAGATATCGAAAGAGTACTAGAAGAAATAGTGACAGAAAACTTCCCCCACCTGGGGAAAGAAATAGACTTAGAAGTCCAGGAAGCCCGCAGAACCCCAAACAAAAGGAATCCAAGGAGGACCACACCAAGACATATCATAATTAAAATTCCAAGAGCAAAAGACAAAGAGAGAATATTAAAAGCAGCAAGAGAAAAGCAGGTAGTGACCTATAAAGGAGCACCCATAAGATTGTCAGCTGATTTCTCAACAGAAACCATGCAGGCCAGACGGGAATGGCAAGAAATATTCAAGGTGATGAATAACAAGAACCTACAGCCAAAAATAATTTACCCAGCAAAGCTATCACTCAGAATCAAAGGACAGATAAATAGCTTCACAAATAAAAAAAAGCTAAAAGAGTTCATCACCACCAAACCAGAATTATATGAATTGCTGAAGGGGGTTATTTAGGAAGAGGAAGAAGATAAAGATAAAAATTATGTTCAACAAATACGTAGCTATCAACAAGTGAATCTAAAAACTAAGGGAACTAAAAAATCTGATGAACAATATTAACTGGTGAATATAATAGAATCAGAGGTATGAAAGGGGAGTGGACTGACGATTCTCAGGGAAAAGGGGAGTGGGGGTGCGGGAAGAGACTGAACAAAAACTGTGCACCTATGGATGAGGACAATGGGGGATGGGGAAAGGACAGAGGGTGGGGTGGGAACCTGGTGAAGGGGAGCAATTGAGGGGGGGAACAGGATCACATTTGTAATAATCTGAACAATAAAGATTAAAAAAAAAAAAAAACCCTCATGCTTTTGAGAACTCATAATACCAATTATACAAATTCTTTCCATAACCAACTTCATATATTAATGCTAAATCCTACCTTCTGTGGTCCCCCCCCCCCTCCAATAAACATATTTCTAACACTAGAGGCCTGGTGCACAAAATGCATGCATGGGGGTCCCTCAGCTCAACCTGCACCCTTTACAAGTCAGGAGCTCTTGGGGGATGTCCTACTGATGGCTTAGGCCCACTCCCCGTGGTTCCCTGTGGTTCCCTGTGGGCCTGGAGGTTTTGCTGCAGCCATGAAGATGAAGCCCACATGCCCTTGCTCTCTGCTGTCTGCCTGCCAGGCCTGGGGGCTTCACTGACATCAACACACTAAGGAAGTCCCTGCCGCAACCTACCTGCACTATTAGTAATTGTTATCTACTTGTTTCCTTCTCTAAGGAGTGAGAAACCTGGAGTTTCATCTTTTTTTTTTTTTTTTTTTTTAATATATTTTATTTATTTTTTACAGAGAGGAAGGGAGAGAGATAGAGAGCCAGAAAAGTCGATGAGAGAGAAACATCGACCAGCTGCCTCCTGCACACCCCCCACCGGGGATGTGCCCGCAACCAATGTATTGCAATACATGCCCTTGACCGGAATTGAAA